AGACTTGTATAGCGCGTTAGTAAATGCATTTCAAGCAGTCTGCAGACTTTCATCAATATCCGCCTCTACCAGAAAGCTACTGAACATCAGATGGCCAAAATGGGTAAGCAACAGGGTACTCTAGGAAAGAATTTACTGCCTAACAAATATGCAAAAGGAAATGGAGATGGATAGAATATACGCCCAGAAGACTGTCAAGTGACACAGAACGTCAGGTCTCCGGATGGAATACGAATGGGAAATGGAGCTTCGCGAATCAGACGGTGGTATGGAGGAGGTTATGTGAAGAGGAGATGGGAGCATATGGTCAATCTTGGAGTCACCTGGAGATGAATTCAGAGAACAGAGAATAAATATGTGCTACTGAAGCTCCATGTTACAATGGCAACCTGAAGGAATAATAATACAAATATTCACCACCAGAATCATAAATTGGGTGCTGAATACTGCATGAATGTCCAAAACTAACACCTTATGACTGTAGAAGGAAATTCATTAATCAAACAAATGCTTACGTTAGCTAGTAAATGGGTTAATGCGAAAGCTCGTTTACTTCAATTCTCAGAGGATAATAGTAAAACTGAGTCAGAAACAGTTAAGTATAACGAACCTTTTCTCAAACATTGTGCTACAGAGCTAACAAAGTCTGTTCTGGATACTAAACGTGAACATGATAAACTCAATGAACAGTTGAGCTGTCTTGAAAATCAATATGCAAATACTTATTAGGTTCCAACTGTTGAACGTTTAGAAAGATAGTGAAAAATCGCATAAGGGATTCACTAGCTTGTATTTAATGGTTCGTCAGTCGGACATGGAAGATCATCCTGATCATTACTGACACATGGATCAGGTGAAAACTAGTGAAGTAGGTCGTTTCAATGATCGTGTTACTAATCCCAATTTCGTAGATTATTTAGAAATAAATTTGCGTGATTTCGATTAAAATACTAAAACAAAATCAACTGGAAGATCTGAAAGCTGTTTAAGCCTTAAGTTCATCATAAATGTATGCAGAAAAACTTTTGACATGTGTTGGATGTTTCCACTAACTATTGCTACTACTGAACTACGTAAGTATTCACTGTTCTTTATTTCTGTTTATTGTAAGTACACAATGCAAATGCCTATAGATACGAATTTAAAACAAGCAATAAATGTTAATAAAGCAAGATTTAGTGAATTCATCGAGCTTCGGCACAACTCTTCGGCTGAATACTCTCCCCCCCCCCCACTCCGAAATAGCAAACAATCCAGAGTCAAAGTCACTGCAATTCGTCTAAAACAACCGAAGCTCTACGGGCCAAAGAAATAGGTCCAAACACTATTAATACCCTGGTGTTCTGTGGATCCAGTAAATTTATGAACTCTGTAGTATATTTTGTTAATTTATCTGATATTTCTATTAGTGTTACTACATTCGTGCTTATTACCGTTTACAATCACTTTACAAACTGGAATCTATTGACCTAAATGATTCACTGTTATTAAAACAAAGCATTAATGTTGTTAATTACAATTAGTCTTGACTATCGTGAACGTATAAGTGTAGAACCTGACGGAGAAGTAGTTATCGAAAAGAATATTCTTTGTTTACTAATCAGTCCTTTGAGATTTTTAATGGATATCTTTGATCAATCTAAAGGTGATGTTCTCTCTCTTAACGAATTTTAAAGTCTAAAATGAACACTACAACACTTCTGGATTTCATCATGAGCTGACGTCGGTTAGAGAACCATTGGAAAACCACTGGACTGGCGAAGAGTCCCAAACTAGGACGAAACAACCTTCCAATGGTTCCGATGGTTCTCTAGCTGATGTCAGCTCATGATGAAATCCAGAAGTGTTGTAGTGTTCATTTTAGACTTTAAAATTCAAGATAATCGGGCAAAGAATATTCTTTTCGATAAATTCCTCTTCCAGGCTCTACAATTATATATATGTTTATATACACAGAATATTTTAAATTAGTAGTTAATAACAATATTACCGTTTTTTAAATAATATCGATTTGTAAAGTATGGTCAATGCTATTGCAGTTCATTAAAGATGCTCAAATTATAATAATAATAAAGATTTAATAGCGAATAGAATATCAACTGAAATTAGGAAAATTCCACAAACATTCCGGATTATTCAAACCTGGATGGCCAAGGTAATGATAATGACTGAACTAACTTCTTTTGGGTGCATAAATTAGGCTTATTAATATGAATCCTCACAGCTTCAGCAATATTTAGAAGTCGAACTCTTAAAGCGAAATTGAGATTCGTAGGTATGCGGTAAACGATCCTGAAAGCATGGTTAACGTTAATTTTGTGTTCTGTCTCCACAAAATGCGCCAGAATAGCGCTGCGAATAGATTTTGTTTGACCTTTGCTTAACCAGGCACGGTGATGTTCGGAAATTCGACGAGAAACACGCCTAATTGTACGGCCTATGTAACTGGCTCCACAGGAGCAGTTAAATTGGTATATACACATGGAAGAGGCGAAATTAGGCAGTTTGTCTTTTATTCCCGAACGCAGAAGAGGAGTGGTTTTAAAGATACGGCGTAATTGAGCAGCAGGGAATGCTCTTTTTACCGCATTTCTAAGGCGCTGTGTTAGTATCTCACTGCTGTTGTCTCCTAGGAACTGCATCTGTAAGAATAAGGCTTTTTTGGGAACTGTTGGTAACTTGGGCTGTTTCGGTTTCAGATGCATATTTTTATCAATAAACTTTTCGGGATAACCATTCTCACTTAGCAACCGTTTAATATTGTTAAGTTCCTCGTCAAGACATTCATCCGAGCAAATATCCCTTGCTCTGTGGACCAAGCACTTTATTAGATTGAGTTTGTATTTCAAGGGCACAAAGCTGAGAAAATGTGTGTACTGGCCCGTTGAGCCAGAGAACATCACCTTTAGATTGATTAAAGATGCCCATTAAAAATCTCGAAGGACTGATTAGTGAACAAAGAATATTCTTTTCGATGACTACCTCTCCATCAGGTTCTACAGTTATATGTTCACGATAGTCAAGACTAATTGTAATTGACGACATGAACACTTTGTCTTAACAATAGCGAAACATCAAGGACCATAGATTCCATGTTGTAAAGCGAATGTAAGCGGTATTAAGCACGAATGTAACAATAGTAATAATAATAATAATCTGCTCTATCGCAAAAAAGTACTTATAATACAGAATGGGATTCTCAGCATTTGTCACATTATTACACCTAATTTACCCAGAATATAAATAAAATTGACCACAGGAATTTATCCTCATTTACGGTAAATTACAAAATGAGAATAATAACCCTAATCATAATAATAACAGTGAGTTTGTTTCAAACACTATTGTCGATTCAGTTTGGAAATTTTAGCATGTTATAGATTACTGAATCTAATATTCTCTTGATATACCACGGTGAAGGGAAAAACAAAAAATAACAATTATTACAGACCTTAAACAATGTTTACAGTTATGGGAAAATAAACAAAAACAGTGACAGGATTATAAAAATAAGAAGAGTAACGGTAAAGCTTGATGTTATTAATGGTAAGAAGGTTAGTTAGTTCGTACCTGACACCATTTTCATCAAATAAAATACTCGTCAAATATGGTACAGTGGATCGTAGGGCGCTGTCTGTTTTAGACGTTTGCAATGACTTTTACTGTTTGAATTGTTTGGAATTTAGAGGCTTCTTGCAATTTATTTGTTACTAGATAGATAATGGAAAAGGATTCTTCAATATCGGCTTTATGGCCAGTTCAGATCAGGTGATCAAATGTCAAAGTGTTAACGGATTTTACTGCACTTATATTTAGCAACACTCAAAGGTGTTCCTGAGCATGAAAACCCACATTCTCAGAGTAATGGCCTATGTAGCCAAATAATATCATGTTAACCTTCAGATGTCATTGGAGCCTTCACACTAACAGTTAACATGTGAACAAAGGCTGAGTGTTTCGGGCAGATAAAATCAATCAATAGGAAATTCGAAACAAGTGATTTAACGAATACTCCATTATAGATGAGATTTTATTTTGATAAATCACACAGTGATGTTATACAGTAATATTAACTGATGACCACGTTCCGAGCACAAGCTATTGCCACTCATAATCATATCTAGTCATTACTCACACAGCTCTCTTGCTTCATTTATATACATGAGTGAAGTTGATGATTAGACATTTGAACAAAAATCAATATGAGATAATGTACATTCAGAAATAATAACACGAGTGTTATCAATAAAATACAATCAGATGGGAAATAGGATGCTTTTACAGTAAAAATAAGTAACTTGTTAGAATGTTATGATGTAAGTGAATTGAAATAGAATTTTAAGATTATTTATTATCCTCCTCTGATTTGACTGATGGTAATAATATCTTCCATATCTCTGGTATTTGCGTTGAGTCATTTCTACTGAATTTGTTGGGTGTAGACTTGATGAACCAGGATTCAGTAATCAATCTCTCTCGCTCTCCACCTACCTATGTAACGCTTTAGAATTTTGACTCTGCCCCACCTACTCTATTTTTTGGTTGTGTATTAACGCATGCAGTGCAATTGCTGAGTTGTTTTTTTCTAAATTACTTATCTTGGCGGGGTTAATCATTCTTACCTTCGCTAAATTCTTATGTTCCCATAATCGGACTACTCCTGATCTACTAGTTTGACCTATGTAGTTGACCTCACTCACAGTCATTGCAAGGTATTTTGTAAATTATATTATTTTGTTCAATTGAGTCCACCGGCTCCTTTAGCCTACAGGACTTATCCTATCTGAGTCAGTTTGTAGGTTTGAATGCCACTCTGATTCCTGCTTTATTCAGAATCCTACGTAGGGTATAAAATGTCTCCTTTTATTGTATAACTGTAGATATCATATATTCTCTCCTATTTAAGTCATCATTATTAGTTTCACCATTATTTTTGTTTTGCTTTTGGCCTTTTTTGATATTCCTAATGAATTTTATAGGATAGTTATTTAACACCAACGCCTCTTCTTCTATCTGTTTCAATTCATCATCAAAGTTTTCATATAAATGAAGTAAAAGTTGTGTGAGTGACTTGACATGATCATGAGTGGCAATAACTTGTGCTCGAAACGTGATCAGTTAAAATTACTGTATAATAACACTGTGTGATTTATCAAAATAAAATCTTATCTATAATGGAGTTATACTCTACCACAGTGTCCAAGTTTCATACTTATATCGATTTAACGAATAACTTGCTACTTCCTCTGAACAATCAACTTTTAAGCTGAATGCTTACTTTTGACGCTAAACAATATAACTTTATTAGATTATTATTCAGCAATTTTAATTAAAAATAAAATTTCTGCCTTGAAATAAATCATAAATAAGTAACTATTAATTAAACAGTTTTATAGGCAGTGATAAATCACACTCCTCCAGTTCCTGATATCTGATTATATTTCTACTTAACTTCGCTTGTAATAAAGATAAACGCATCAGTTACAAATAGCGCCTCATAGAACAAACTAACTGAATAAAATGGTCTACTACAATGAAATCTGTCTATGTAATTGAATGAAAAACTGGATTGTCTTTTGTATCTAGTACGCGAAAGCTTTTTGTATAACGCTACAACATCAGCAGTGTGTAAAAGTCATTCCTGATGTTTCATACGAATGTGATTCAGAAGTCTTAGATCAATCTCCATGCAACAAAATAACTTTACATACTTATTCCCTTTAATGAAT